CACAAAATAGTAACATTTACTATGTAGAAGTCTTCCATTCAAAATCAGTTTTCTAAACATGACCATAATGAAAATATATACAACAAAGCCTAAACATTTTAAGAGATATATTTTTTAAAATATAAACTTTATTCAAACATTCACTTTCTCTAAAGACCCAAGTGGTCAATCACATACAAATATCTGATTACCTTTCCCTATAAGAAACAGAAACAAACCTGATTTCTTTAAACTGTTACTGTACCAATTCATGTCTTTTACAACTTTCTTATATTTGTCAATGTAATTTCACTTCTGAAAGTATCACTTTGACATTGTTCAGCAGCAACAAAATCAATCTGTCTTTAAGTTATCTGTCTTTAAGTTAACTAGGTCATACTTCCCCTCCCAGAAGCAGGTGAAGAATCAGAAGATCTTTAAGTCAGTATTTGTACTGTTTTTGTTTTTTTGGCGGGGGTCTCTTCATTTTACTGAACTAGTGTAGTAATTATCTGGTTAACATCTGATTACAATTGTTTTGTTGTACTGTGTATTACCAACTGCTGTTCCCCTCACAGAATGATGGGACAGCTGCCAATGGAGAGTAGGGAGGGCATTAGACAGTAAAAATTTCTGTTTAGCTGGCTAGCAAGACTTAAATAACTACTTAGAAATTCAATCTGGTAAGAATTTCTTTTTTTTAAGGCAGAACTAAAATCACTGACTTCTCTCTCACTTCTATATTATCTATACGTTTTTTAGTAATTTTTTTATCCAAAATAATACAGTTTAAGATAGATGCCACGAGAGTATAACCAAAATAGCAGTTTCTAAGCCTCCTCCCATACTGCTTTCAGAGACAACAAATTTAAACTCTTAGCCATTTCTCCTAATATTTTGTGCACTGCTAAATGATAAATTCATACTGCTATTATTGATTTGTCAAGACATTATTTACAGACTTGTTGTTATGATAAATGAAGTTCCTTTCTTATATCATTCTATCCTACTCTCATTCCCCTTTCCCCACAATAAAGTCACATTAAAACTTTTTGGTTAAATTTAAAAATGGGCAGAGGACCTGAATAGGCATTTCTCCAAAGAGGATATACAGATGGCCAATAGACATATGAAGAGATGCTCAATGTCACTAATCATCAGAGAAATACAAATTAAGATTACAATGAGGTGTCACCTCACATCTGTCAGAATGGCTATCAATAAATCAACAAGCGAGTGTCGGCAAGGATGTGGAGAAAAGGGAAGCCTCATGCACGTTCAGTGGAATTGAAAAATTAGTACAGTCACTATGGAAGACAGCTTTGAAGTTCCTAAAAAAATTAAAAATAGAACTACCTTATGACCCAGCAATTCCACTTCTAGGTGTTTATCCAAAGAAAACCAAAACACTAACTTGGAAAGGTATGTTCCTGTGTTCACTGCAGTGCTATTTACAATAGGCAAGATATGGAAGCAATCGAAGTGCCCATCAATAGACTGGATAAAGAAGATGTGGTACACATATACAATGGAATATTACTCGGCCATTAAAAAAAAAAATGAAATCTTACCATTTGCAATGACATGGATGGACTTACAGGGTATTATGCTAAGTGAAATAAGTCACTGAGAAAGGCAAATACCATTATTTCACCTACATGTGGAATCTAAAGAACAAAATAAACAAACAAAATGGAAACAGACTCAGATATAGGCAATGAACTGGTGATGGCCATACAGGACGGGGGTTGTGGGGCTGGGTAAAAAGGTAAAGGAATTAAGAAGTACCTACTGGTAGTTACAAAATAGTCATGGGGATGTGAAATACAGCATATTGTAATAACTATGTGTAGTGCCAGGTGGGTACTAAATTAATCGGGGGGGGCGGGGAGGTCACTCATAAATTATATAAATGTCTAACCACTATACTGTATACCTGAAACTAATATTAAATGCCAACTCTAATGGAAAAATAAAAATTTTAAAAAAAGAAGAAGATAAACAGCAGAAAAAAACAGCAAATATATGAATGGGCAATTCATAAAGAAATCCAAATAACTAATAAACATGAAAAGATGGAAAAATTTTTGGTTAAATCAATATCCAGATTTTATATATTACATATATATATATATTTTTCACTGTTGAGCTAAGTATATACTACAATTCTATTTTTTCATGAACAGTGCTTTTATTAGTTATTAGAACATAATTACAATTAATTGCCTGTTCCTTCATTTGTTTAATCTTAAGTATGTACCACTAATAGCTACAGAAGTCCAACAGATCTGTCAAATTTCTATTAATATTATTTTCCAGATGCCACAAGTAAACAAAAAATTGATTCTATAAAAATGGATCCTCCATACTTTTGCTAAAATCTAGACAGGTTGCTACACAAGTCTACAAATCTCAAGTCCTTGGTCTTCCCTTCCCTTCTGTTAGATCTCATTTCCTGGATCTCACCCTCAATTAGCTTCCTAAGAAAGGGTGTAAGGAATATAAATTTTGAGACCTTGCATATATAAGATTTTCCCTTTTGTTTGTCTGCAGACAGATTCCAGAATAGACAACTATTTTCCTCTGAATTTTTGGAGCAATGCTTCCTTTTCTTCTAGAATCCAGAACTGCACGGATAAATACAATACTCTCATTTCCAGTACCCTACCTTTTTTCTCTGGGAGCTTAGAGAAACTTCTTTTTATCTGTAATATACTAAAGTTTCACATATGGGTCTTTTTTAATCCCTTGTTCTGGTTAATAAGTCACTGGGCCCTTTCAATTTTCAGTTCTGGAAATTGTTCTAGTAGTATTTCTTTGATAAGTTTCTTCCTGCCATTCTTCCCTATGCTCTATTTCTAGATTATTATAGTAGAATGATATTTAACTTGAAACTTATTCTAAGCCAGTTTATGTTTTAATCTAAGCACTTTTCATGCATTAACTCATCTAATTCTCATTTAAAAAACTATGAAGTATTATTCTCTTTTACAAATGAGAAAACTAAATCACAGAATGGTTTAGTAACTTGGCTGTGGTCACACTGGTAGTATTGGTAAAATCAGGATTCAAACCCAGAAAGTCTGGTTCCAGAACCCATTCTTAACCAATACTGCCTGTTAAACAACGGACCACCTGGGCTGGCCCTCTATTTTTCTTTTCTTTACCACTTTTCAGCTTCTTCCATCTTTTTAATTTTTTTGTAATACTTTCTGGCTCCACTGTATATTAGCAATGTGATCTTGTATAAGTTACTTTCTCTTTTAAGCCTTGGTTTCCTTATCTGTAAATTTATTAGTAAACTTAAAGGGCTTTAAAATGTTAGTATCACTTTCTAACCCTATGAAGGAATAACCTTATTGCATTAGAAAAGTGCCTAGTCCATAAATACATTACTATTACTATTACTTTAATACCAGTACTATAGTGATTCATCCTGTATCACAGATGCTTAACCTGCTTAAGCATACTAGAGCTATGCCCTAGTCCTTTCTATAGAATGAATCATAGCTGAGAAAAATGGAATACAAAAATTAAGACATTTCTATTGGCTGATTATAAGTCACACCCTGGCTATAGGTGAATATACTAAATTCCTAGACTTTCTTTCCAGCAACTCCTAACAAATACCAACTTTGGGAACGTTTCAGACTACGCTTTTCTATTAAATCCTCATATCTTCCTTTGCTCATCAATTTCTTCAGGCTATAGCACTCCTTAGATTCAGTAAAAAATTGGGGATCATCTCAAATACCAACTGGCAGCTCTAAAGCTCTTAAACTGAACTTTCCCTGACAGCGCCATTACTATTCTTTTTACTAGTCTCCACATCCAATGTTATTTTCACAACCTTTTGGTAAGATACTATACTGGGCTTATAGTATCTCCATGTGAAATCCAGCATGGCACACAGACTCTAAGGTGGCCACCACCATTCCCACTTCTGGGTATTCATCCTTGCGTATCCTCCTCCCTTTGAGTGTATAACTTCTAACCAAATAAGGCAAAGGTGACAGGATGTATATGACGACATTCCATAAGAATATAATACACTTCTAGCAAGAAGACTCTCTCTCTTTTACTAGTTTTGAAGTAAGCTGCCATGAATGTGAGCTACCTGTGAAAAAGGTCATGTGGTGAGCAAACGAAGGTGGCCTCCAGTCGATAACTAGCAAGAATCTAACAGCCAGTCTGCAAGGAGCTGACTTCTGTCAACAATCACATGAGCTGGAAAACAGATCCATCCCTAAATGATCTTCGGATGAGACCCAAGGCTTGACCAACACTTTGATTATGGCCTTACAAAGGACCCAATTAAGGCGTGCCTGGATTCCTGACCCACAGAAACACAAGATCATAAATGTGTGTTAAGCCACTTAGCTTGTGGTAATCTGTTATGCAGCAATAGATAACTAATGCACCTTGCTAGTATCTCAGCTTATACAATTCATTCATTACACAAAAAACATTTACTAAGCACTACCTACTAAGTGCCAGGTAATACTATTCTAGGCACTGGGGACGCAGTATAGAATGAGACAGAGGAAGTCCTGGTCACATCAGTCAATAAACAAAATAAATATCTAACATAGCATCAAGTAATGACTGGGGTATTTTAGCAAGGACTGAATGGAGGGAGAAAATGTGCCATGAAAAGATCCTGGGAGAGAGTACTCTAAGTAGAAGAAACAGCAAGGAAAAAAAAACCTAGATGCAGGAATATGGCAAGTCTAAGAACAAAGGAAGTTTGCTTGGTCATGTAGGGTTTTGTAGAAAATTATTCTAAGTGTGACAGAGAGCCTTTAAAGTGTTCTGAGCAGGGACTGACATGATTTGATATATATTTTCTAAATGTCACTCTGACTGCTATGTGGAAAACAGAATGGGTTCGGGTGGGAGAGGCAGAGACCAACAGAAGACTACTGCAGGTGAAAGATGATGATGTTCTGTACTACAGTAGTGGTATTAGAGATGGTGAGATGATAGTATCAAGATATAATCTGAAAAGCACAGCAAACAGCATTTGCTCATAGCTCAAACACAGGACTTATGAGAGAAGAACAAAAGATGACTTCTAGTTAGCACTTACACGAATGCTGGTGCCATTTCCCTTCAATAGGGAAAACTGGAGGGAAACAATAACTTGGTGGGAGAAAAAAATCTAAAGTACTATTTAGACATATTAAATCTGTTATGTTTATCACACATTCAAGTGGAGATATCAAGTAGGCCAGCAGTCCCCAACCTTTCTGGCACTAGGGAATGGTGCTCCTATGAGAATCTAGGCCTGATGATCTGAGGTGGAGTCAAGGTGGTGATGCTAGTGCTGGGGAGCAGCTGCAAATACAGATGAAGCTGCGCTCCCTGGCCTGCCACTCACCTCCTGCTGTGTGGCTCAGTTCCTAACAGGCCACGGACTGGTACTGGTCCACAGCCCGGGGTTGGAGGCCCCTGAAGTAGGCAACTGGATACAGAAGTATAAATCTCAAAGGACAAGTTGACTCAAGTTCAAAATGTGAGCATGAGCTTATCGGTGGTTTTAAGACATGTGACAGCATGAGAGCACACAGAAGAAAAATACAGATAGAGAAATTCTCCAAGAATTGAGTTCTATGAAAACAATAAGGCAATATACAGACTAAGCAAAAACAGCCAGTAAGATAGTAGTTTCAGAAGCCAATAAAGAAAAATTTTGAGTGGGAGGGAAGAAGTGCAACTGTATCAAGTGATGCTGGGAGGGCGAGTAAAATCTGGACTGAGATGAGCTCTCAGAAGGAAGTCACTAGTGATCTTGACAAATCAAATGGTAGGGAAGAAAGACTAACTGGAAGGGGTATCAAGAAAGAATGTGAAGAAAGTAATGTGAAGATAATAAAAATGGAGGCGCCTATAAAAGAACTAGAGGAAACAGCATAGAAGATTGCAGGTAGGGAGGTATAAAAAAATTCAAGACAGGAATTCTTTTTTAATGTTCACTTTAGGATGGGCAGTATTATGACAGGCTTGTATGCTGTCAGAAATAGCCTAATAGAGAAGGAAAATATAATGCTAGGGAAAGGAGTGATAACTGTAGGAACAAAGTTCTTAAGAGAGAAAAAGAAGTGAGATGTAGTACACAAATGGAGCTTAGGCCTTAGATAAAATAGAGACAGGTATTTCACAGGAATGGCAGCATGTACATATGCCTGTTTACAGTGAACAATGACTTAGAATAAGCCACTTAGGAGCTATATCATCTATACATAAAAAGCTAAGTTCAAAATCCAGTGTTCCTTCCAACACTAAATCTTTAAGAATGAAACACGAGGCCAAGAGAACCTTTTAATTACTAAATCCATTTAATTGAAAATCAGGAAGGAGATTTTCTAATTCTTCCCAAGGAAATAAAACCTACCTGGACTCTCCACTCTCTTATAGTGGTATGGGTTGATACAAACTTCTTTTTGCTTAGATCCAAAAGGAAATTCACAAATATCCAATGGCTTCAGCTCATGATGACTCTGCAAATCAGGCCAGCGCCAAACACGACAATATATAACGTGGGGTAAGCCTTTTCTGTGAGACACCTGCAGGCGTCCATCTAAAGATCTGGGAATAGTGACACACTTGCTCGGCTGTCCTGGACTGCTCAAGGCTTTCTCCAGTTCCTCCATGGCACCCTTTTTCTTTTTTAGCTTTTTCACCAAAGCATCGACTGCCTTTTCGGCCCATTTCTCCTCTTCATCACCTTGCTTCCAGCCCAACAATCGCTTTACTGCTGGACTAGTAAAAGAAAACAAGCTGGCCATTGACGTCATTTGATATAAATCTTCAGAGACCTTCCTGCAACTCAAAGTCAGTGGCTAGTGAAAGAACAGATGACAGGTGAAAAGTCATATACAGGTCCTAAACAGAAGTTCCAATTAAAAAGGGAGGAGTGACATTTCTCTTCATAAGTGCCATAAGCTTCTTTCATTGGTTCAAGTCCTGAAAGAAAAAGGGGGAAAGCATAAGATCCCCAATTTAAATGAATGCAGTTTACATACATCTAAATTAATTTAAAAGTATGTTATTTTTAAATAAAAGCAGAAATGCATTACAAGGTAAAACAACAAAACCTAAGTCTAGGAAAGAAAAATTTTCTCTAAAGTCCTGTGACCACTCAATTCCTTCTTCATAACATGAACAAATAATTCACTGGTAATGCCAAAATTTAACCAAAAGAAAAAACAGGTTGCTCTACCTCCTATGTATCATACAAAAACACAACCTCTAGACTTTTAATTACTTTGGTCAAGTCCCAAAAAACAGGTTTGATTCTGAAGTACTTTTTCTCCACTGAAATCCAAGCCAAATGCAATGTCAATTTTGAACATATGTCCTATCTGAACCAAAGTCTTAAGAGAAATCTAGCTCTTCCCTAAGGTCATTATTCTCTTTAAAATGTTTCACAGACTTAAAACGTTTGGGTAAAAGCCATGGTTTTATTCAAGTCATATATTTGATATAAGTTTTATTAAAGGTTGTCATCAGATAAAATGTACTAACATCTCAAATAAATCCTAACACATCATGCCAGAAAAATGAGAAGTGTCTATTTTTAAAACTAAGAATGCTTAAGAGATTTAAAGAGAATAAATTCAAAGTTCAACTCAAGAAGGCACAGTTTATAATTTTATAATTCCTGTTGCCTTCTGTGGTATTTTAAGCATGTTAAGTTAATGAACCTGCTCTGGGCAGACCACCTCTGCACCATTAAGAAGCTCTTGGAGATGACGACAAGAGGAAATGATGTGCAGTGGCATTCCACTGATAAGAGTGAGGACAGTCCCCTGTGGTGACTACACAGCCAACTCGAGACAATGAGCAGCTAGTGAAGTAGTGGGAGTAATGTTTGGGAAAAGGATGTCAGTAATAAAAGATGCTTCCTTTCTTGTGCCTAAAACTGCCAAATAATGCTGCAGCTCTGCCTTTGACAAATTCTAACATCAGGACTATTCTGGACTGGGGTATATCTTCCCATAAAAGAATATATGTGCTCAGTTAAAACCCAGACAGACATAAAGTAAAATAAAACTGAATTAAATTCAACAGATAATTACTGATTGCTTGTTATATGCCACATACTGTGAACAGCCATGATGGTGCTTTAAAGAAAAAAAAAATCTCATACCAAATAGGTTTCATCTTCAGAGCCAACTAATTCAGTCAAACATATACTTACTGAGAGCCTACTAAGTGCCCAGCACAGTTCTAGGTACTGATCAACTAGTAGTGGCTATCTAGACTGCTATGTTGGAACCATGGGGAAAGGGGTACAGGGAAGTAAAGGTATACTCCTTATTTATCGATGGATATACCCAACCCTACAAAGGATAATTTTTGCCAGGCAAAACTGGCTATATTAAACTACAGATACATAACAAGAGAATGAAAGCACATTTTTCAGTAATAGGTCACAGACTGTAAAGTGTTGTATGCCAAACAAACTGTAAGAAAGGCTGAACTCAGTTGTAGCTACATCAAAGACATAGGATAAAAGACATCTGGGTCAGAAAGCAGAGGCATGGTTTGGTTGTCTGAGACGAGAAGGGAAATTTCAAAGACAAAAAGATATAAACCAAAAAATATGTGGACAAACATGAATAGAGCATTTCCTAGAATAGAGAGGAGATAGGCCTGGCTGACTGAGATCTTATTCAGTAACAGCAGAATATAATGAAGGCTGTCTGGGTAGAGAATGCATGTGAGAGAGTATGTATGAGCAACTGAGAGAGATGTTGAGGAAGGAGAGGAGCTTAAAGATCAGACACTAGATTAACAGTTAACCACTAGAAAGTACTTAATAAATGTTAACTACTAATCTAGTATCAACATTATCATCATCATTAAATACTAACCATATTATGTACTGAAAAGGGGGAAAAAGGAGAAGTTATTTGCGTATGTAAACTCAAAACCAAGACTAGAAGGCTACATTCTAAATTTTTCACTGCAGCTTCCTCTGGGGAGAGGCGTGGAATAGGAGAGAGGCAATAGACAGGGGTCCTGTGTGATTTGTTTTATGTACTTCAGTATCGTTCTAATCTTTTAACAAAGAAAATCTATGATGTATTACTTGCATGATGCTAAAATTAAAAGATAATTTAAAATAAATTATGGTGAATAGAATGGAGTTAACAGTGGCGGTACAAAAAGCAGGTGAAACTAATGAATGCTATTAAAAGTCAAGATGGTGGTTACCCTTTGAAGGGAAGTGTAGGAGTATTAACTAGAAGGGAACCTGAGGGTTTCTGCCATCCTGGAAAAGTTCTGCTTCTGGCTCTAGTGATTAAATGGGAGAGCTCAGTTTGTGAAAATCTGGCTGGCTGGATAGATATGTATACTTTTCTGTATGATTTATAACTATTTAATGGATGTATAAAAAGTCTACAGTGGTTGGTTTCCTTCTCATTTTTCTATTATCAGTTCCCCGTTTCATGAGTAAACTCTTTTATATTTGTCTTTTATATCCTTCCAGAGAAATTTTATACAAATACAAACAAATACAATCTTTTTTTTACATAAATAGTGGTATACTAAAAAGAAAAAAGCCAAGCAGAAAAAATGTATAATGTATTTTCAAGATCGTCCCATATCAATATAGAAAGTTTCCACATTCTTTTCTACTGCACAGAATTCCAGTACAAAAGTAATCTTAAAAGTATATCAAACTATGTTATTCCTCTGTTCAAAACTCACCCAGTGGGTCTTACTACACTTAATACCCAAATTTCCTAACATTACTTTATAGGACCTACATGATCTGACCTTTGGCTTCTCCTCCAAACTCACTTCTTATAAATCTCCTAATTCTGCACTTGACCACACCTGACTTCTTTCTATTTCTCAAGTGCTCCAAGGTCATTTCTGCCTCAAGGCCTTTGAACTTGATGTTCCCTCCCCTGGCATTCTCTTCGCCCCAGATCTTAACATGACTTATTCACTCAATTAACTCAGCTGCTCAAATGCCATCTCCTAAAAAAGGACTTCCCAGAACACTTACTTTAAAATAGTATACATCCCATTCCTACATCATTCTCTATCCCCTGATCCTGCTCAATTTTCTTTCATGGCATTTATCCTAACCTGATATTACATTATCGATTTTATTTACTTATTATATGTCTCCCTCATTGAAATGTTAGTAAGCAGGTAGCCTTGTCTTCCTTATTCACCATATTCCTCTGGACCTAGAACAATGCCTATTTATTAAATGAGTGACTGAGTAGTAAGTGAATTTTTTTAAAAAAGCAATTTGCAAAACTATACACATCTTTGTAAGAGCAACTGTATAAAATTTTAAAAAATGGTATTTATGGATATAAATAATATATGCATATACTATGGATATAAGAAGAGAATAAAAATACGTATGGAAATGATACATACCAATCTCAGAATACTCAATACTGACTGGGTTGCCTCTCAGGAAAGGATGAAGACTAGAAAAGATTTAGCTATGCTTCTTTTAAAACTAGATTTGAAGTAAAATTGGCAAATCATCAGATGTTATTTTCTCTACTTTTCTGTGTTTAAATAACAAAAAATTCACTATTTTTAAAAACTAGCATGATGAAAACAGAAGAGGACTACAGTCTATCCTTTACTAAGTATATGACCATAACCAGGTATCACTCTAAGTAGGAACAATTCCTAAGTCATTGAAATGTTGAAGTAATAAAACAGCATGTGTGTATACATGAGAAAGAAGAGCCAAGACTCAAATCTATCCCCTTTCGTGAAGACCCCAAATGCACCAAACCACATATCAAGAATACATAATGAAAGATCAACTATACCTTGAAATTAAAGGTAATTTCACATTTTAAACCCAGGTGACTAAGATAATGATAATTACATTAGCAGAATAAAGGACACGGGTTAACTACAGGGAAAGGGTCATGACTGGAGATACAGGTTTGGCAAGGAAAAGATGAGAAAAAGATCTAAGATTTTGCACAAAGACTGAAACGATAAGAAAAAAATGAGTTTTCAACAGAATGAAAAGAGCAGCAAGTATATCCCCTGAATATTCCCTGAACAGTAGGAACATTCGCTGGTAGGAAAAAGGAGAAAGAGTTACTGATAAACTATTGCTAAAACAAAGAGCTTAGGACCAAATACAATGGTACTATAGAAGATTAAACACAAGAGAGAATTTAAAGAGAATGTGAACAAAGAAAAGGCCGATGACTCTGGTGAATGGAAATGTCGTTAGTTAAGACTTCAAGAGACTGGCTTTGTAAAGAATAAGGAGCATCAGATTCCAAAACCTAAGACTTAATATTAGTTTTTTCTTAAAACTAGCACTGGGAAAGGGGCAGGGACAAACCTTACATTCAACTCTTTAACTGTGGAATGATTAAAATTTTTAAACACATTTAATGGAATTCTTTCTAAAACTGTTTTATAACTTTCCAAGCTACGTTAAGTGGTATGTGCAAAGAAATCCAAGTACTCATTTCAAGGTCTTAACTTACAAAGAAAGGTAACAAAATTTATCACAAATATTCACTAAGTAAAAGATTAGACACATCAGATAGTAAAATGAGTCCAACATCATTAGTTATCAGAGAAGGTTTTAAAAAGTGAAACTGAAATATCACTCCCTATCTACTGAAAAGTACACTAAAAAGTGTTCATGACAATACAGAACAAGTGGAACTCTTACACATTGCTAGTAGGAATATAAATTAGCCCAACCACTTTGGAAAATTGTTTGACTGTCTCTACTAATGCTAAACATAAATTCCTATGACCAAGTAATTCCATTCCTAAAAAAATGGATGAATCTCACGGATATAACATGAAGAAATCAGATACAAAAGATTACACATTGTATCATTCCACCTATATGATGTTCCAAAACAAGCAAAACTAATCTATGCCATCAGAGACAAGAACGTACTAAGAGAAGAAAAGAGACCCTTCTGGTGGGCTAAAAA